TGGCTTGCTCGTCATGCCTGGCTCAGCCTGCTTTCTTATGAGCCTAGGACCACCAGCCTGAGGTGCCTCCACCCACAATGCTCTGGGACCTTCCACACCACATCACTGAGAAAATGCCCTACAGGCTTGCCTGCATCCTGCTCTTATGGAGGCAGTTTCTCAGTTGAGGCTCTCTCCCCTCCGATGACCATAGCTTGTATCAAGTTGACCAAAACAACAACAACAACAACAAACCAACAACAAAAACCTAGCCAGCACAGGGCCCTTATCTCCTTCCATCTCAAAAACTGTGGGATTCCCATTTCACAGGTGTAGAAGTCAAGGTCTATGGAGGTCTAGGAATGTGCTGTGGAGAGCCCTGAACTTGAACGCAGGCTTTCATACTGCATATGGGCTGCACATCTACGTCTCATTTACTGGCAGTGCCATCTGAGGTGTGTGCTGGTGGGCTCATCTCTGCTTCACAAGCAGACAAACAGACTCAGCAAGACTAGACCCCCTGAACCGTTAGGAATGGACGAGTTCATTTTGCTTGGGAGGGAGAGCCATGCCACCCAGTGAGGGCTCACTCATTCTGAAAAGCTTTGAGCCTCTGCCTCCTTTATCTCAGGTTCCAAATGGTTTCCAGGGTGGCCCCTCCTCTCAGGGCTGGGTGCCAGGCAGGCCATCTGCTTCTGGGGCCGGCTGCCCCTCCCACAGCCACTGCCTTCCCCCTGAACGCCTGGCTCCCGTCTGGCTGCAGCCATAGGGAAGTTCCAGGGAAAAGATCTGTGCAGTCTCTTCTGCAACCTGAATTTTGTTGCTGTGGGTCCTGCCTTGTCTGCACAAACAGCTCTGCTGATGCTCAGCTCTGGTCCTTTGTTGGGGATATGGGATGCCAGGGGAGGAGGGGCAGCACTGGACCGCTTCCCTTGGCACCTGTTCAGGGCTTGGCTGCATCAGCTCCCTGACGAGCATCCTCCTGGCTCCTGGCTCCTGGCTCCATGATGCACAGTAGCCCTGAGAGTTTAGCACAGAAGTCATATCAGGTCACCACCCTGCTTGGTACCATTTCTCTTCCCAGCTCCCCCATGTTGCCCACCTGGGAGACCCTCTTTTCTCCTCCTCCTCCTCCTCCACCACCACCACCACCACCACCACCACCACTGAGCAATGCCTGGCTGCTGCTGGGCCTTCTTCTTGTGCCTGGATTTGGTGCACCTGTCCCCATAATTGGGGAGCTCTCATCAGGCCTGGACTTTGCTCCTCAGATACTCTGTCCTAGGCCTTTCTTCAAAGGCCAATCCATCAAGACCAAATAGGACTCCCCTGCCTGCTCCCTCTTTGTGTGTATATATGTATGTCCCCTCTTGCTGAGCATCTTTCCTGCTAGACTAAGAAGCTGTGTGCAGGCTGGGGCAACATTGTGCTTTTATCTCAAAGCCCCCCAGGGTCCAGCTCTAACAAGCTCCCAGCCATACTTCTGAGCCATGTTAGGTACCATGGTGATGTCTGTCTTCTGTCTTGTGAGCAAGAGCCCCTTCCATTCTCTATCCATGCTGAGGGTCACAGAGGTCTTTCCCGGCATCATGAGTGGTTACCAAAACCCACTGACTTTTCCTGGGGAGATGTGAACAATCATCTAATTAGGGTATCCACAAGAGGCAGACTCCAGCTTGGAGAACCAGTGAATTTATGGGAGTTACTAGAACTTGTGTGAGAAGTTAAAGGTGTATAGGGGACCTTAAAACAACTGCATCACCCCGGAGTCCCATCCAACTGTGAATGACGACCTCATGGGAGCTGCGTCATGGCGTCCCCCCTTCAGGTAACCTTCCACCTCTGTGCTCTGGCACTTACCGAGACCACGTGTAGCTGGGGCAGCATTATATGCAGCCGTGTGGACATGGCAGGAAGGACATAGGCTCTTGGGTGAGGGTCTGAAGGAAATGGTCAGAGGCCTGACCTTGTGAGGGCATCTTTCAGGTAATGAGTGCTCCTCTGATTTCAGCACCACCCCAGTCTTGTGGGTCCAGAGGGCACTGCTCCACAGCGCTGGGCAGCTCTTACGCCGGCCTCCCAGCCTCCAGGATGATACTAACTGTATGTCTGAGCTTCTCAAGCTCTGTCACAGATTCCTCCAAGCAGAAGTTCTATTCCAGTGTTCTGTGAAACCCCGAAGGAGATGCTTCCGAGGGGTGACTGTGGATGTGCCTCTAGCAATCCTGGAGCTAGGGGCTGGCCCTTTATTTCAAATGATCATACAAAAAGAAGAACCATGGGCCGGGGCATACAACCGCCAGGCTTAGTGGGGGCATACAGAGGGAGTTCTAGGGGCACCCACAGGTGTGTATGTAGAGGGGCAGTGCCCAGAGAAAGCCAGATGGCAGGGGGCCACGGGTACAGTCGATGGCTAACTTCAGGGCTTCTGGCAGGTCCTGCTTTGTCTTGCTTTCTAAACCTGAGACTGCCGTGACAGGGGAATCCAAGCCAGGCATGTTGGAGGAGTCCTCTTGCAAGGTGCCAGGTCCCGGCTTTGCTGCCTCAGGCCTTGACATCTCAGTTGGGGAGACCACAGTAGAAAGACAGGCAGGACCTCCGTGCCCAGAGGTGACTGAGGAGACAAAAGAAAGCAAGTGACAGACAGTGGTGACACGTGCTGGAGGGGACCTCTGATCCAGAGACCTCAGGACGGAGGAAGCCGAGAGGCAGGAGTCTCGGCAAGCCAGCGCAGCCCTGTTTGGGAGAGGGAACGTCTGGTTATCTTCCAAACTGAGTGTCCGGGGACATCCATTCATAGCTGGACACCAGCCATGGGGAGTGTTCTCATACCAAGGAGATGGTCAGACACGAGCCCTCCCCAGCTAAGCATTCGGTAGCGTGCCCCGATTGGCATGTCTGGGAACAGGAAGGAAGCCGACGGACGGCTCCTGAGCAGTAAAGGAGAGGAGGACGGTGAGGGTGTTTCCGAGGCTTTGTTTTGTCTCGGAGAAGATCTCTAAAGAGCTTTAAGCAAAGCAGCCTGACTTAATTTCACTTAGCCAGACAGACAGACCCAGGGAACATAGAACATATGTGCGTGCATGTGTGCATGGTATGTGTGTGTATGCTAACTTGTCAAAATGGGGTCCGTGCCAGATCTGAAACCTGGAGCTACCAATAGCCCACTTCCTGTAACAGAGTAAGGCTGAGCATGCCCACTGGGACTGTGGAAGAGCTGGTAGATGCAGAGAAGTCACTGTGGGCAGCCGTGCAGGCAGTTCCTTCCCAAGAGGTGACAGCCGTAAGCTCCTGAAGGCTTCCTGCCGTCGTGGACAGACGAGAAGCCATGGCTCAACTAGCATGCACCCTGGGAATGCTGTGCATGCACCCTGGGAATGCTGTGCATGCACCCCGGAAATGCTGTGCCTTGGAAGTAGCTGTTGAGTGTCCACAGTGGCTGCATTTTTTACCTCTGTGGAGCCTCACAGAGCCTCTGAGCAACATTGTGACCGTTGACCAGAGCAGGTGTTTCTCAGCCTTGGCTGTGCGTGAGCCATGAGGAGCCTCTCCACCTCCAGACCAATCAAACCCAGGATCTCCGGAGGGGGGCCCACATGCCAGTGGTTTCAGATGCTCCCCCGTGATCCTCAGACAGGGCTGAGGCCAGGAGTGGCTGGAGTGACGGGAAGTTGTGCAGAACAAGTGTCACATACTGACCAAGGAGTAGATACGATCACGGGCATGGAAATAGTGCCTGCACTGTTCTCTTGGACCCCAAATGACCCCTCTGGAGTCCATCCTCTGCTGCGGGCCCTGGTAAGGAGCTGACAGTCTTGCAAAACCCAGCTTGACCACTTTTCTGTTAGTAACCATGGGCTGAGTCACCATAGAAGCCCACAGTCCCAAGGATGGGCACCCCTGAGCCATCCCTTGGGAAGTGGAATCCCTATGAAGATGGAGGATGTTGGGGTCCCAGGCACACTGCCCAGCAGCTGAGGGAAATGTGGAAGACACTTACCCCAGGGATGTCAAGCAGGCAGGTGTCGCCGCCCGTTGATGTCCAAGTGAACCCAGCAGCTTGCATATCCATGGAGCACAGCAGGTCGGGGAAGCAGGTCCCCTGTGTCTTTAGGAAGAGGCGGGAAACACATACACCAAAGGTGGTTCTCCCAAGGATTAAAATATGAAGCAGGGTGAAACAGACCCACATTGGTAGCAGCCTGCATGGCTTGGCTGGGAGGGATTGTGGAAAGAACACAGCTTTTGAGTGGGTTGGTCGCTCCCCCAGCCTGGGTGTAGGGCCTGGCCCAGGGTGCAAGGCTGGGTAGCTCTGAGGTCCATGCCTCAGAGCTGAGCTCTGCTGGCAGGGAAGCCAGGAGGCAAACTCATGGCCAATGCTGCCACACCCTGTGGTGGATGTGGGGGCTGGGCTGGGCAGGAGGGGCTGGGTGGGTTTTGTATTGAGTCCTGTGACAGTACGCTGGAGACCTGAAAGCCAGGAGACATATTCTGACTGGGATCTTACTAACCTACTGTGAAGCTTGGACAGGTAGTTTCTCTGGATTCTGCTGTCCTCGGTAGAGGAGACAACACAGACGATAACAACAGAGGACTGCAGCCCTCTCACACTCGTAATCAAAGGGACCGGCCAGCAGGAAGGCCGGGTAAAATGGCGCCTGTGGCTGTTCCCCTGTCATCATTATGGGCAGGAACTCCTCACCTGAAGGGGACCTAGAAACAAGTGGTCCTGGGTGCTAGCTCTCTGCCTGACCCTGCCATGGGTCAGCAGCTCCCATGAACCTCTCAGGCACTGGCTTTCCTGGCGGGACATTTGCTGAGCGCCCACCCAGAGAGAGGGCCAGGCTGTGGGCTCCCTCCCATCAACTCTGGAACTGCGTTTTAACACCAGCCCTGGCTTCCTGGGTGGCTCGGGGAGCTGGGAGTTGGGTTCTGACTCATTGCTGGCTGGGTGTGCGCTCCCCAGCTGCTCCAGCAGTCTTATCTGTGGCTTCCCTAACTGCTCCCTTCTTATCCTCCAGGGCCCTCATCTTTGTGTCCCACGGCGCTGGGGAGCACTGCGGCCGTTATGATGAGCTGGCTCAGATGTTGAAGGGGCTGGACATGCTGGTGTTTGCCCATGACCATGGTGAGTACCTCTGGTGTACCACAAAGGCTGGTAGAAAGGCCCCTGGCTGTTCTGTCCTGTCCACCCCACCCCCAACCCTGCTGCCGCCGCCATCGTCTTGTCTGAGTCTGTTCTCTGGGTTAAAATTTACATGTGGTTATATGAATGGGACAGTGTGTCTGGCCAGGAGTCACTATCAAATCAGAGTTTGCATGCAGGCTTGTTGAAAGCGTGGTTGAGAAACCAAAGCTGGGCCTGTTTATCCAGGAGCCCGCCTGGGCCAAGGAGTCCTAGGGTACGACTATAAAGTGCCTCCTCTCAAGGTGGACATTGGTTCTCTCCCACAGGACTTCAGGTGGATGCAGTAAGTCAGATTAAGTCAAATCTTAATCTCATGTGAACCAGCAGAGGGTTATAAAGTGCCTCAAGCTGGGCACATAGGAAAAGTCTTGAATATGTCTGCACATGTGTGTGTATGCATACACACACACACACACACACACGTATGCACAACTGCACATACACAGCACTGTTACAGATGTGTATACACACACACATATGCACAGCTGCGCATACACAGCACTGTTACAGATGTGTATACACACACACACACACACACACACACACACACACACGTTTGCACAACTGTGCATACACAGCACCGTTACAGATTAGGAGGAACAGTTTTGGCCCATGGCTTCAGAGGTTTTGGTCCCTCATGGTGGAACAGAGCAGAGCAGCTCACAGCAGCCAGGAAGCAGAGAGAGCAAGTCTGCACAGAGGGCCTTCTTTTTCCTCCCCTTCTGTCCTGTCAGGTTCCCAGCCTAGGGGATGGCACCGCCCACATCCCAGTGGGGTCTCCCCACGTAGTTCATCCTCTCCTGAAGTGCCCTCAGACACACCCAGAGTTGTACTGTGATCATCTCTTAGATGTTTTTCAAGCCAGGCGAGTTGACAGTGAGGATCAGTGACCACAAATGGGTGTGCACATGTAAACACATCAGCACAATGCACACTTACCACCCATGTGTATGTGGGAGTGTTGATGTGCAAGCACACATATATGGATACACACATGCATGCATTCACATTCACATATGCACACATGTATGTACAGGTTATGGGCTTACACACATACAGGCGTGCGCAGACAACCTCCAGGCTAAATAAATGGTTTTTTCCTCATGACAAAACCCGTACTGCCAACAGTGCTGGGCTCCTTGCCCAGGTCAGTATGCAACTTCCTGTACTGGGATTTGAACTAGAGTCAGCAAGCACTCTATGGCTGAGCTATACCCCCAACCCAGGATGCAGCCCTTGAGTTATTTTTGTGGTGTTCCTGTGGCTGGAAAGTCTCCAGATTTGGCCTCTGAAGCTGGGCTCCCAGGGACAGCGTGGTCATTTCCCCACAATCCAGTGTGCTTCTCTGCCACTCTGCCCAGATCCAGAAATGCCACTTTGTCTCTCTGATACGAGAGTAGATAATGAAGTGATGCCGTTGGAAGGAGGGACAGGGGAGCTGTGGCAGTGGCTTGAGTCTCCTGGAGAGAGAGAGAGCTACAGCCACACACAGAGACGCTCACGTGAGATAGACAGGCTGCTAGGTGATTTTTGCCCACAAAGATCTGTGAATTTGATTTGCCAGGAGCCCCTCTTAAGCTAGATGTATGCACATGTCCCAGTAATTGAGATTATTAACTAAATTCTTCCCTATTATGGCTGCAATGTTCTCTGCTGCTCTGCAGTCAGCCCTGGTTATATTGGTGAGACTGTTGTTTGGGAGATAATATTCCAGGGTTATCCCCGAGGCCTTTGCTGTGGGGACTCTGTCATTATTAAGCCCAACACTCTGCTCACTAGAAAATCCCAAGACAGGAAGGCTTTGTCCTGCTGCATCCGTCTCCATTAAAATCACTTGTGGTTGTCGTTATGTGCTGGGGGACATTGTGAGAGAATTGTTGCACTGAGCACCCTGAATCTCAGGCATCTGTCTCAGAGCTCGGCAGCAGCCTGCTTATCAGATAAACTAGGCCAGATGAAGTCAATGGGAGGCTTTGTTTATATTGCCTGACTGAGGTGCTTAGAAAAACCATTTTTGAAGGATTCTTTTTTTCAGAGTCCAGGGAGAAAAGAAGCAGCCCACTTTTTGATGTTGCCAGCAATAAATAAATAAATAAATCTGAGGTTGAGGCAGAGCTCTGTGATGTTCTAAATGGAGGGTGGGAGTGGCTGTGTTCACCTGTTCCAAGTTCCCAGAATGACACACTGGAAATACTGCTGCATGTGCCAAAAAAAAAAAAAAAATGAACCCAACTGAGCATGTGTGTGTGTAT